CGATAGATAGGACAATGGTGCAGACAGATAATTTTCAGTTTCTCTTGGTGCAGGCAGGTAATGCTTTTGTTACTCCCGGCCTTAGAGAGATATTTTCAGTTTCTCTTGGTTCAGACAGATAATTTTCAGTTTCTCTTGGTGCAGACAGATAATTTTCAGTTTGCTCTTTGTGCAGACAGGTAATTTTTTAGTTTCCTCTTGGTGTAGACAGATAATTTTTATTTTGCCCTTGGAACAGACAGATGATTTTCACTTTGCTCTTGGTACAGACAGGTAATTTTCAGGTAAACCAAGAGAGAAAGGACAAACCGATAGATAGGACAAACTGAAAGATAGGACAAACCAATAGATAGGACAAACCAATAGATAGGACAAAACGATAGATAGGAAAAACCGATAGATAGGACAAACCGATAGATAGGACAAACCAATAGATAGGACAAACTGAAAGATAGGACAAACCGATAGATAGGACATACTGATAGATAATACAAGCCAATAGATAGAACAAACCAATAGATAGGACAAACCGATAGATAGGACAAACCGATAGATAGGAAAAACTGAGAGATAGAACAAACCGATAGATAGGACAAACCGATAGATAGGACAAACTGATAGATAAGACAAACCAATAGATAGGACAAACCAATAGATAGGACAAACCAATAGATAAGACAAACCGAGAGATAGGACAAACTGAAAGATAGGACAAACCAATAGATAGGACAAAACGATAGATACGACAAACTGAAAGATAGGACAAACCGATAGATAGGACAAACTGATAGATAGGACAAACTGATAGATAGGACAAACCGATAGATAGGACAAAACGATAGATAGGACAAACTGAAAGATAGGACAAACCGAAAGATAGAACAAACCGATAGATAGGACAAACCAATAGATAGGACAAACCAATACATAGGACAAACCAATAGATAGGAAAAACTGATAGATAAGACAAACCAATAGATAGGACAAACCGATAGATAGGACAAACCGATAGGTAGGACAAACTGATAGAAAGGACAAACTGATAGATAGGATAACCCGATAGATAGGACAAACCAATAGATAGGACAAAGCAATAGATAGGACAAACCGATAGATAGGACAAACCGATAGATAGGACAAAGCAATAGATAGGACAAACCGATAGATAGGACAAACCGATAGATAGGAAAAACTGAAAGATAGGACAAACCGATAGATAGGACAAACCGATAGATAGGACAAACCGATAGATAGGGCAAACCGATAGATAGGACAAACCGATAGATAGGACAACCCGATAGATAGGACAAACCGATAGATAGGACAAACCGATAGATAGGACAAATTGATAGATAGAACAAACTAATAGATAGGACAAGCCAATAGATAGGACAAACCGATAGATAGGACAAACTAATAGATAAGACAAACCGATAGATAGGACAAACTGATAGATAGGACACCCCGCATGGTTGCAGAAAACCGAGAGAAAAATATTCGTTCGAAGATTTGCGTTTTGCAATAGTTTACATGATCAAATTTAGAAATTTAGTCCACACGTGACGTTACATAAATATTTTACTTCGCCGAGGGGAACATTATGTTGAGGAAGAGTTCATTTAAACTTTTTAATTAAAAACAAAATCTTAGAAAACGTATTAACTCAGAAAAGAGTTTGAATTCAAATTCTTAAAATACTTTGAATAAATCGGTGAGTACTTGTTAATGGTTTCCTCGGATTGTTACTGTCTCAAAACCTTCCTTGAGATATATTGAAATCCTATTTCAAAACCAAAAGGAATTGAGCCTTTGCCACAAATTCAGTTTTTGTAAAACCTATATCTTTGCAACCTTATGATGTAAACCTTTGATATTTCAAACATGCATTATTTGATCCAATAGCATTCATAGTTTGAAATATTAAAGGTCTACGACATTGGGTTGCAACAATATTGAAATTAGAAAATCAGAGTTTGTGGCAAAAACTCAATTCCTTTACATGAAAAAGAAGATTATTTCGAAAATAGAGGATTATGTATAATATTTGACTTTTTTATAAAGCTGAAAGTTGAACATTTTCTATGTACACTGCACAATTGCTTTGGTTTGTGTTAATTGAACTATTTTATATCATATAACTTGAAACTAGCAGTCGTCTTCCTATTCCACAGTTTTAACGTTACCACTGTGACTCTTCATGAAACAATTTTGTTTGTTTCTTTGACATTAGTTTAAAACTACCCCCACCACCCTTTTCAAAAATTTTCTGAGTCCAGAATTAATGAACAAGGCTGAACCGCATAATGATGCTTATCCACTTCTCTTCAGCTTGAACTGACGCACCAGAAAAAAGCTTAGCTAAGTCTTCCCAGTTCAACTAGTTCTCGCCATTCATAAAATCTGGTCATTAAACTGAACTGAATGGGATATACTTAATCCCGATTAAGCTGGAGATTAATAACAAGAGGAGAACAAGCATTATTTAATTTGGAGATTAAGAAAAAGAGGAGATTAAGCATTGATCCTGGTATCCACCATTCTATAGTTTTCAGCTCTGGTTGATTTTTTTTCTTCTGGCAAACTATAATTTTATTCAAATTTTTAAGATATCAAATATCACAATCCTATATATTTACTAAAGGATATTGTTTGATGTTATCTAAACCTAATCCTCCTCTTTATTCGCTTTCAATCTCATTATTTTAAATATCAAAGCAAAGCTCCATGACTCTAGTATAAATTTTGTTTTATCAAAACAACATTTCATATCTAAATAATGAGAATTAGTCAAAATATAGTTGAAACATATTTTTGTTGTTAAAAAAAATCATATATCATTTTGTATTTATATATTCTTAGAATTGTTATTTACAAATTTTCTGTAAATCCTGCGACGGAAAATATTTTAGAGGAATTCACTAACAAATATCAAAATAGATTTCAGGTAATTATTTCTTCTTCGACCTTTGAAATTACCTAGCTATTAAAGCTATTGATCTAGGTGGTACCTACCTCCCTACCTAGCTATTAAACCTATTGATCTAGGTGGTACCTACCTCCATACCTAGCTATTAAACCTATTGATCTAGGTGGTACCTATCTCCCAACCTAGCTATTAAACCTATTGATCTAGGTGGTACCTACCTCCCTACCTAGCTATTAACATACTGATCTAGTTGGTACCTACCTCCCTACCTAGCTATTAAACCTATTGATCTAGGTGGTATCTACCTCACTACCTAGCTATTAAACCTATTGATCTATGTGGTATCTACCTCCCTACCCAGCTATTAACATACTGATCTAGGTGGTAACTACCTCCCTACCTACCTATTAACAAACTGATCTAGTTGGTACCTACCTCCCTACCTAGCTATTAAATCTATTGATCTAGGTGGTATCTACCTCCCTACCTAGCTATTAAACCTATTGATCTAGGTGGTATCTACCTACCTACCTAGCTATTAACATACTGATCTAGGAGGTACCTACCTCCCTAACTAGCTATTAAATCTATTGATCTAGGTGGTGCCTACCTCCCTATCTAGCTATTAAACCTATTGATCTAGGTGGTATCTACCTCCCTACCTAGCTATTAAATCTATTGATCTAGGTGGTACCTACCAAGCTATTAAACCTATTGATCTAGGTGGTACCTACCTCCCTACCTAGCTATTAAACCTATTGATCTAGGTGGTACCGACCTCCCTACCTAGCTATTAAACCTATTGATCTAGGTGGTACCGACCTCCCTACCTGGAAACCTACCGAACCTACCTCGCAGCAGGAATAACTGGTTGAAAGCAAATATAAATAAGAAAAGACAAAACGAAGTAAGCATCACAATTACGGCATTTTATACAGGGTTACCCACAAAGGATGAGACTGTAAAGACGACCCAAAAATTCTCAAATTATCACGATTGGAAGCTTTCTTTTTTGTTGTTTCTGCACTCAATTGAGTGTGTTGATGGTTTACAAACGATGGTAGTGTCTATGACTATTATATACCTGGACAATGCCAGGCACTCGAGCTAGTTTATATATATATATGATAGGTAGGATAGTTTAATGAGATATAATGCCTGAACTCGACATTTACACTTAAACTTTTAATTTGAAGAAACATTACATACAGTAAACTCAATTCTGACTCTATATTGCATTTCCCCCTCTCCACATACCATTCCCCCTTTTAACGCATATTTCCCCTCCTAAGCCTTACAACTTTATTACTAAAGATTTCTCTCTGATTTTTGCATGCAGACCTGAATTGTGATATAGCTTTTTAATCCAAAACCAAAGTGGGGAAAAAATAATTTTTCCCCTGTCTAAAGTCATCAGCATCGGGTCGGGAAACTCAATTCTAGACTCTATTACTAGAGATTTCTCTCTGATGTTTGCATGCAGAGCTGAATTGTGATCTAGTTTTGAATCAAACAATTTTATAATTATACGCTGAAGTAACTTTATCAGTGGCCGAATTTAAAGAATTTGAGCGGCGGTTTAAATTTATGCCGCGGTTTAAATATGGTTGGTTCCACTTAAAATTGCATCAAATGTTTCAAGATTTAAGCCGGCGCTTAATTTAAACCAGGTTTTGGCGGATTTAAACCGCGGCTCAAATTCTTTAAATTCCATCTCTGGTTACATATTACAGATTAAAAACATTTTTGTTGTTCTCAATATCTTCTTATTTTTGTTATTCTCAATATCTTCTTATTTTTGTTATTCTCAATATCTTCTCATTTTTGTTATATTCTCAATATTTTCTCATTTTTGTTATTCTCAATATTTTCTCATTTTTGTTATTCTCAATATCTTCTTATTTTCTTTATTCTCAATATCTTCTGATTTTTATTATTCTCAATATTTTCTCATTTTTATTATTCTCAATATCTTTTTATTTTTATTATTCTCAATATCTTCTCATTTTTGTTATTCTCAATATTTTCTCATTTTTGTTTTTTTCAATATCTTCTCATTTTTGTTATTCTCAATATCTTCTCATTTTTGTTATTCACAATATTTTCTCATTTTTGTTATTCTCAATATTTTCTCATTTTTGTTATTCTCAATATTTTTTCATTTTGTTATTCTCAATATTTTCTCATTTTTGTTATTCTCAATATCTTTTTATTTTCGTTATTCTCAATATCTTCGCATTTTTGTTATTCACAATATTTTCTCATTTTTGTTATTCTCAATATTTTCTCATTTTGTTATTCTCAATATTTTCTCATTTTTGTTATTCTCAATATCTTCTTATTTTCGTTATTCTCAATATCTTCTCATTTTTGTTATTCTCAATATCTTCTCATTTTTGTTATTCTCAATATCTTCTCATTTTTGTTATTCTCAATATTTTCTCATTTTTGTTATTCTCAATATCTTCTTATTTTTATTATTCTCAATATTTTCTCATTTTCGTTATTCTCAATATCTTCTCATTTTTATTATTCTCAATATTTTCTCATTTCTATTATTCTCAATATTTTCTCATTTTTGTTATTTTCAATATCTTCTCATTTTCGTTATTTTCAATATTTTCTCATTTTTGTTATTCTCAATATTTTCTCATTTTAGTTATTCTCAATATCTTCTCATTTTCGTTATTCTCAATATCTTCTAATTTTTATTATTCTCAATATTTTCTCATTTTTATTATTCTCAATATCTTCTTATTTTTATTATTCTCAATATCTTCTTATTTTTATTATTCCCAATATCTTCTCATTTTTGTTATTCTCAATATCTTCTCATTTTTGTTATTCTCAATATCTTCTCATTTTTGTTATTCTCAATATTTTCTCATTTTTGTTATTCTCAATATNCCGGGGGGGTCCAAAAATCGTTCTCTAGGACAGACCCAGGAAACAGACAGTATAAATTCCGTACAGTCATCTCTGAAGTCTCATCCTATGTGGGTTAACCCTGTATTTACACAAACCTGATTCTTTTTATATTATTTCAGATTTTAATGCTGAATGATTGCTTCCTGAGGAACATTAACACAGCAAGGAGAGAATATAATTTTTGAAAAAAAAACATTTGAAAGACTTTTTTAGTCTGCGAGAAATAGATTATCATTACCAAAGTGAATACTGCACAGTGATCTTGCCAGGCTACATTTTTGCATGAGACCCGCTGGGTCAACTTTACAGTAGCTGGTCCAACAGTGGTATTAAAAACCCTTTTTTTGTTTCATCAGAGTCCTTCTGGGTCTCCGATCAAACCAATGATGTAAAAGGGATCGAGAAAAAAATTGCTTTCTTTATTTTAAGCCAAAAAGCTTCAAAAAGTTGAAAATCATCTTTCTATTGTTAATTTCAAAATCTTTTTTTTTTACTGGATTTAATTTTTAAAACTTTATACACGTATATTTGATCTTTCATATCGGATTTTTATTGAATTTACATCTAAACATAAGATTTCAACTCGGAAAAAAGTTTTTAAATTTTATTATGAACTTAAAAATAAATATTTTTAATTTATAAAATTTTGGATATGTAGATAGATACATATTATATTGATCTTTCTAGATATGTGACATTGGTTGACATTGATGAAGTTATTGTTCCAAAACAAGTAGGTTTATTAGAATAATATTATTTCAAACAAGTAGGATTATTAGAATAATATTATTCCTAACAAGTAGGTTTATTAGATTAATATTATTCCAAACAAGTAGGTTTATTAGAATAATATTATTCCAAACAAGTAGGTTCATTAGCATAATATTATTCCAAACAAGTAGGTTTATTAGAATAATATTATACCAAACAAGTAGGTTTATTAGCATAATATTATTCCAAACAAGTAGGTTTATTAGAATAATACTATTCCAAAACAAGTAGGTTTATTGCATAATATTATTTCAAACAAGTAGGTTTATTCTAATAATATTATTCCAAACAAGTAGGTTTATCAGAATAATATTATTTCAAACAAGTAGGTTTATTAGAAGTAGGTTTATTAGAATAAGAATTATAACACACAATGAGGTTTTTTATAATAAAAATTATACCAAAAAAGTAGGTTTCTTATGTTAAGTTTTTTACTTTTACTTCGTTTCTAAAAATGTGCTACGAACATTTTTATTGGGATTTTTTTTATTTTGCAAAATTTTGATTAAAAGGTTTATCCTGCCAGGATAATTATCCTGTCAGGATAAATACTTAATCGGAAAGTTTTTTAATTAAATCACTTAGTTTTTAATTGTAATAAAAACAATACTCAGAAATAAAGATACTGTCACTGTACACTGTCACTGTACACTGTCACTGTACACTGTCACTGTACACTGTCACTGTACACTGTCACTGTACACTTTACACTCTCACTGTACACTGTACACTGTCACTGTACACTGTCACTGTACACTGTCACTGTACGCTGTTCACTGTTCAGTAATTAATTAAATTATCGTCTTAATGTAAAATAGAACATATGTATGCTACTTTCTCAAAGGCATTTTCCCAAGGGCGACTTCCCAAGTGACAATGCCGGATGCGAGCACTGCGACTAGGACAGACTTTTGAAGTTGCCGCTTGGGAAATTGCACATTTGGGAAATTGCTACTCGGGAAGTATTTTTCGCGAACACTCCCTTTAAATGACGAATTAAATAGATAGAAAGTAAACAACAATTTTAAGAACGAACTATATAATTTTTTTAGAACGACTGATTGACAGTACAGGAGTATAGTAGAGCTAGTAGAGCAGACTTATAGATTTCGAGTGATGTACACTGAAAACCAGAAAACTGTGAAATAGGAAGACGACTTTACAGCAATACATGTATTTGATGTTGTACAAAGCCAAAAGATATACTAGACTCTTATTAAATCACTAGTAAAGCAAAATGTATCTGTTTACACTGCACAATTGTTGAGCCCTATGTTCATTGGACTATGCAAAGTCAGAATTTGAGTCTAAAATTCGTCTTCTTATTCCATGGAGTCTCTGGATCTCATGGTATCGGGTTTAAGATTTAATTTTCAGGGAAGCTGGCTGGACTTACTACAGACTCTGGAGATTCTAAATGCTTTGGATTCTCCGGATGCTTTCTGCTTTCAACATTTTTACTTTTTCAAACCAAAAAATATTTCAAGTCCCTTTTTTACTGTGTACAACAGGAGTGATCTTTCAACGCCAGGTATTGTAAACCTAGTTTCATGTGACCATTCGTTGAAACGAGGAGCATGTCCAATTCACAACATGTAGTCAGTATAGTCTGCATAGTCCGTGTCGTCCGTATAGTCCATATAGTCCATATTACGTCACCAGAACTGTAGCCAAGGGCAGTGCAGTATCGTTGTCATGTGATTCTCGTCTGTATCACGTGACAACGATACTGCACTTTCATTGGCTAAAGTTCTGGTGACGTAATAAACGGACTATATGAATAATATTATCAATTATATCTGTCAAAAATAGCATGTCCAATTCACAACGGTGCCCTAAAAAGCTTTGTCTAAATAAATCACTCTTTACTAAAACCCCACTATTCCTTCTGTCAGATTACTGCAGTACGCACCAAAAGCTTAGTTCAGAGTGAAATATGATTAGAAATCCACGTTTTGTTTTAGTAAAGATGATAATTTTCATTTGTGGTTTCTTTACTGAGAAACACTATTTAAGTTTCAAAAAGCCGCATTATCTTCACCATTGTTTTCAGATTTCAAGAGTACTGTCTTGAATGAGGCATGCCACACTTGAAAAAAGGACAACAATAATAATGTGAACAGTCTCTTTAATTGAAATATGTTGAAGGAGAGTTCAGTAAATGTTTTCATAAAGTTGAAAAAGTAGAAACAGTTCATAATCATCTGCCATTCACATGCCTCACACATCCAGGTAATGAACACGATAATACAGTGTTTATAGGTACTTTCCCAAAGGCATTTTCCCAAGGGCAACTTCCCAAGTGACAATTTCCCAAGTGGCAACTTCCCCATCACTAAAGTTTCAGTAGAAGTAAATATTTCCATGTACTGTTATAGCGCCGATTGAAGGATTCATGACTCTAATTGGATAATGAAATAGAAAGAAAGATAGATGTTACCGGACCGCCAATCGCCATACTATTTCTATTGGTTCAGAATAGACAACAGACACATGACTGAACCCTGATTGGATCAGGCACTATTGAGCTCGGCATACTAGAGTGCCATGAAGGAAAAACGGCATTTTCCCCATGAAGAAAGTATTAAATTGCACATTTGGGTAGTTGCCGCTTGGGAAGGTACCTAACATCGATAATACTACTACTAATAATAATAATAAGAATAATAATAATAATAATTTGATAATAATAATTGAATAAAAAATAATGAAAAAATTGGGAAAAAAGCAATACACAATTCTAAAACTAAAAAGCTCTTAAAAAAATATATGGAGTCACATGTGTCACATGCTTTTTTAAAATAAAAATTTGCATTTTTTTACATTTACACGACGTTCCTATTGAAATTTTTTAATCTCCTGTTGAAGAGTTGAACTAAACAATAAACATTGAACTCTCCCCTATTTTAACTCTAAGGGAAAATCGTGAGCGGTCAAAATAGCCCGACTGGGATTAGGGGAATGATAAATAGAAATGTCAAAAATAAACCATACAAATTATCTTATTATCTAAATTATCAACAACAGATTATTTTGTATTTAACCTTTCAACAGTAGACTTTTGATAGAGTTGATATTTCTCAGCAAATAGTTTTGACCATGATTACCAAATTATCATTATTATCAAATAACACACAGGGTGTCCCACGGAACATGACAATTGGAGAATAGTTTTAAATGTCTTCTTCCATAATTTGTTAAGTTCTTTGCCACAAAAGAGATTAATTATCATTATTAAGAAATATAAAATGGCAGTCATTTAATAGTAAAATTTATTTCAAAGTAAAATATATTTGAGTAAAAGATTTTGCTAACGAAATAAACTGCTAAAAGCCATTAATATCTAATATGATATGTAGAAGAAGACATTAAAACAATTCGCCAACTATCAGGTTTGGTGGGACACCCTGTAGGTTGTAATAAGCTTTGTGCATTGGTGTCAAATGTTACAAAATTCCAACATTTTTTTAGTGGACAAGACAGGACCAATTAAACAGTATCAAAAAGAAAATATAACTAATAATACTTTACACTAATTTCACTGAAACCTTAAAAGGAATTGTGTGCGAAAAATGAAAGGGGATATATGCTGATATCGAAATGAGTTCCTTATCACTCGCTAATAATTTTACTTCTATTGTTGTGTCTATCAGGCGAAAATGGGTGAACGTACATCTTATACCTCAGGGCCAGGGGCGTACGAGGGGGGGGGTGGAGAGGGGGGGCAAAAAAAATTTAAAAAAGGTATTAATATTTTTTCAAAAAAGGGGTTTTTAAGGGGGGGACCAATGTTGCCAAGGGGGGGACCAACAAATTTTTTTTGCGCGCTTACGCGCGCACATTGTGCCCCCCCTAAACAAAAGCCCTCGTACGCCCCTGCTCAGGGCCTAGCGCTTGTACAAATTAACATAGTTGCATTATTCCATTCAGATCGTAAATAATTCAATTAAGTTTAAATTTAAGCATTCAGATATTAAAACCTTTAAGTATCGATTCGAATTCAATTAATTTATTTGTTTTATATACCATGTACTTTAAACGACGATTTTTTGTCGCTAGGTGTCCCTCCCATGTGGAAACCCTGAAACATCGAGAGCAGAGACACCTAGCGGGCAAATAATCGTTGTTTATCGTGTAAAAAAAAATGTTTATGAAACTATATATACGAATGCATCAAATTGAATTTGGCATTTACTGTGGAATAATCTAACTTTGTGAATTTGTAAGGACAATCTGTTCGTTAACCATTTTCTGCTTATAGACAAAGGCAAAATTAGTAGCCATCGATATCGAATTTGAATCCGACATCAGCCTATACCACCTTTCATTTTTCGCGAAGACTCCCTTTAAATAATTTGGTCGAAAGAACCTGGGCCCGAATGTAAATAACTCAAGCTAAAGGTCGCTGAACAACATACCGCCGATTCAAATCTTAAATCTCAAATTCAAACTTTCAGATTTATAAATGATTGGAACCGGCGCTGCTGGCGGCGGGAGGTAGTTCATCGACCTCTCCGAATTCAATAAATTCGGTATAGTTTTGCTGAATTATATTGCAGTACTAAGCCTAGCTCGTGGAGTGTCACAATTGTTGTCATTGGATATTTTAAATGTAGAAAAATACCGTTCCATAACTTTAAGTTTCAATATAGATACAATATCGTACTAATCGTCCAAAATTGTCTTTAATGGTCTAAAACTTTTAGGGGGGAATACAAAATTTCATTTATGGTCAAATTGTTTAAAATATTGAATGTTTAGACAAGAAGGACTGCTTTGTTGACTTCACAGATCCAGTATTAGCCAAGTTGCATCATTATAGGGCATTTGCCATTTTATGTTGCGCGCGCATGCCCCGTAAAATTCCAAAACAAAGAGAGGGGAATTGAATTTTGTAGATCCAGAAATATAATATCTGTTGGATGCCTGCGTAGAGACTGGCAGCTGGTGGGGTCTTAAATGTAAGTCATGTGGCCGCAGCGCTTGGCCCAGAAAGTGTCTTAACCTGACCTATAACCCTAAATAAATACTAATTTCTGGATCTACAAAATTCAATACCCCTCTCTCTGTTTTAGAATTTTACGGGGCATGTGCGCGCAATATAGAATGGCAAATCCCTCATTATAGAGGTACTTTTATATCTGTATTATTTTTTTTAACTTTTGTTGTCACTTCTTGGTAAATTTCATTACAGCAAGTTGAATGCTGTATATCATAACATTATTATTAAGAATAGAATTTCTTGAAATTGTTTCTGTTTAAATTAAAATGATTGAAATTAAATCTTATTTAATGCACTCAATGTCGGAGATGCTATATCAATTGGACTACTTACAATCTGAACTACTCAGCAACACAACTGACATTAAATTAACATCAAATTTACAATTTTTTAGGGTGTTTTATGTCGATTTTGACATCGCTAAAAGACATCAGATTAATGTAAAAACAAACCCCTTTTAGTATTAATAGGACAGTCGTTTTATGTATTCAGAGTGATGTCAAGTATCCTTAGATTATGTCAATTTCATGTTTGTTTGATGTCATTTTGAATGTTTGAGTCATCATAATGACATTATTTGACTTACTATACCCTTCTATCCAAATTATGATGCCAAACATCTCAATGACCTTCAAATAATGTCACAACATTTAAATTACGTCAAAATAATGTCACTTAACATTTTAATGTTGTCCTAGGACCCTATTCTTATCCAATTGACATCACTTAAAACCACAAACCTAAATATTTCACTTCTTAACCTTGAGAGAGCAATCCTCCTGCATTACATTTTCAACATTTATCTGTATCTAATGTCGTTTTACAAGCAAATAGTTTTACCAGTGGCATATTAGGGGGAATGAGTCTGTGTACACTGCACAATTGCTGTTGTTCATCATCATCAGACTATTTAAAATCATAAATCAAATCTAAAAATCGTCTTCATGTTCCACAGTTTTAAGGGTCTCACTGAAACTTCAAGCAACAGCCATAGAAACCTAGAATTTAAAATAATAAATAAATAAAAAATGTTGCAGCTTTATGACATAATTAAATTAAAGCTATAATTCATGAAAATCAGTAATGTTATAAATCCAAATATTTATCACAAACAGGTTATATTTTTGACTTCGCTATTGATATTTGGAGGGACGCTACGTCAAAAATTATATTATTGCTCTCCGTTCAGAACCTTTTTCTCAACTAAAGAATACTAGGAGTTTAAGTGGAGTAAATCGATCTAATCCGAAAAGAAAACCTAAGCCTTCGTGTTGAATTGCTGGAACTTCTAAGAGATTCCTGCCTTTTAACTTTCTGAAAATAAAACCATTAGAATTTCTCCAATCTAATCATATTTAGACTAAACTAGGCAAATTAGAACGAAACATAGAAATAAATCCATTATAGAACTATTTTAGCTGCCAAATTGGACTTATATGATTCCGAATTCTGTTTGTACCATAAAGATACCGAATCAGTGTGCCACCTTCCATTAATTTGAATTTCTTCTTTGGTCATTCCATTATCAAATCCACTGGAAACTCCGCCACCTTTGGAACTTTTTTCAGAATATTTGAAAGTGAACCCTGCCTTCTCCAACATCTTCTGTGACCCAGCCGTTGAATTGGATCTACAAAGACTAGTTCTTCCATCAGCCATCTGAACTGTTGAAGTTACTTCCGATCCGTCGACTATTCTTGTAACGTCTCGATTTCTGATACGAAAATTGATAAAATTTTTGTCCTCAATTCCCGAATCACTGAAGTGTAACCCAAAACGCTTGAAATAAAGTCGGGTTAACCTGACTGAGCAATAGTCAGTGTCCGTACTATCTAAAACTGCAATATTACGTTATGGTGTTGATCATTCTTAGCTCCCGGAAAATATATTGTTATATGAGATCCACGGTCCGTAAAATGAAAAGCTTGCAGTTTTGAATAACAATCAAATCTACAAAATGTTTTAAATTTGATAACTTCTTTGAACACTGATCGGAAAAGTTCTCCATTAATCAAATATATGCCGTGAAGAAAAGGAAAAACAAATTTATCGATCAATACTCGAATAATGGCCGAATCTATAATTTCAGGTTTCTTATTGGGCGGTTTCTGCAAAGCTGAAAATCTTTGACCTCCTTGAATTAACAGTAAAACTCAGCCATAAAAAACTGTGTCTATTCTGTCTAATATTTTTTCTAACCATGATAGAGCTGGTTTTATATTACACCAAAATGAATAACTAAAATTCTGATCTCCGGCAAACCCTAGAAACATCTCCAGATCGTTCCTAGAAAAACTGGCAATATCCCGGTTCGTTTCTGCCAAAAACTTTGCGAATTTTCCAATCACTGACTTATAGTTTGAAATAGTCCCCTCTGCTAACGAATGATTTAATAAGTTATAAATTTCTCCAAGATCTGAAACTTTTCACACTGCCGGCCTAATTTCACCCCCGAGCATTAAAGGGGCCGATAGGTTCTTTGAAGGAACTGTAATTTGTATTGAATTAATATCCTGTGATAAAAGAACATAGTTCTCTCCTGAATGACTATCTCGAATCTGTGTGCCCTGGATCGCCACATCAATTCTGTTCTGCTCAGATATAACTTCTTCCTCCCTGCCAACTGTCAAATAAAAGTTAGGAACATCCATTCTGAAACATGAAAAACAGTATAAAATGTACCTAAATGCAACATAGAAATTTACCAATCAACCATTAAACAATTATCTAATTGATTGGATTTAATTAATATCGCAAGCATAGAAAAATTCTTTTTACCGAAAAAAATTGAATTTTTACAAGCGTTGGAAATTGAAAAAACAGGTTGAAAAATATAGTATTTTGAAATGAATCTTGCTAAATAAACTCCACGCTTTATAAAAGGCCAAAAATTTGAACTTTTCCATATTGGCAAAATGACAATGCTAGTAACGTTAACAAAAGATAAAATATGTTTAATAGTTTGAATGATTAATTTTGGTGGAGGACAACACCAGTAAACTTCTGAACGTATTAAAGTTTGAGCAAAAAAATCAATACCAGCCGTTCCAACTTGAGGAATTTTTGAAAAAAACTTTAAACATTTTGAATTTGAGTTTGAAGAAAAGCAATCCACAGTCGGAACAACGTTGAAGTAATTCAAAATGGCATCATAAGAAATTTTATCAATCGACCATTCATCAGTGCTGGAACTAAATTTAGAGCCTAAATCAGCTAACTGAATTTGTATAGAAGTACGAGGACTCCATATCGGAATAATTTTAATATTGTACTGAAACTCGAATTGTTTAATTCGTAAAACAACTTTCTGAATTTGAGATTTGCGTGAACCACGTTTCAAAAAGGCGAAACAGCACTGTGAATCCGTCATCCAATAAATTATGTGATTTGACAAAGATTGAAAATAAACCGGTTGAGAAGAGAGAGCCTTTTCTACAGCAAGTAATTCTCTTAAGCCAGAAGAGCTAAGAGCTTCGTATTCGTTAAAAATAAATTCTTCACCAATCTCAAAATTATCGTTTTCATATATAAAGGCAGAATTGTCAGAAGCGTCGGAAATAAACAATTTACAATTTTTACGAAATTCTTCTTCAACAATACAAGATTTAAAAAATTCTATTTCGGTATGTTCAAAAATTTTAATTGCTGTATTAGAATTTTTTATGAAATTTCCATTGTACTTGAACATTATATCACGAAAAAACTTAATTTCAGATAAACATTGTTGATCGAGCATAAACTTTACATTCCAGCAAAAATCTGTGACATGTTTACCCAAATAATGATGACAATAGCGCATGCAAGCTAAACAAACATTGCCATGAGATTTAGTCAGATCAGTAATCATTCCAATTAAAGCGGCAAAATCCACAGCTTTAATAAATTTTCTTTTTTCGTACATTAAAATTATGTTCCTGATGCTCTCATCGAGATAATTAAGTTTATAAACAGGAGCGAAATACTTCATCTGAACAGTATCAATTATTACACCCAAATATTTGAGACTTTGAGTAGGTAACAAAACAGACTTGTTCCAATTAATATTCCAACCACTGAACTGAACAATCTTAAGAACAAACTCAACATGCATTTTGCAAGAAGAATATGAATTCGAAACTATCTTTCCATCATCAATATACATTGAAAAATAAATGCCAAAATTCTTAACAAAAGATTTTAAAGGCTTGATCAACTGATCTACAATATAAACGGCATCACTGAACCCGAACATTAAAACAGTAAACACATAATATTGAAAAGTTCCATCATCTTCAAACATTTTAAAACCAAAATATTTATACTGATCAGGGGCTAACTTTACATGATGAACATGATGATACATATCAGCTAGGTCGAAAGATGCCATAAATTGATTGGGTTCAATCAAAGGCTCACAATAATCTAAATTATCCAAATGTGAATGATGTTTAACTATTCTGGGATTAATAAAACGAGACATATCTAAAACCAGTCTTAATTTAATTTCTCTCGTCTCTTTGTTTAACTTTTCAGCAACTGACAAAGGATTTACAATTAAAGGAACTGAAGAAACTTTCTTTACACGGCCTAATTTTTCCCACTCTTTAATTTTTTCTTTTAAAAATATTGAATGTTTTTTTGCACTATTGTTATTATCTTCTTCGTAAAAATGGTTAGGGACCATGCCAGGTTTAAATTGCAAAGAAAGTCCAGAATTCAAAATATTTATCACTGTAGTTCCAGCTTTCAGAACTTCTGCATAAAATCAAACACTTTTAGTATTGTGAATACAATTTCCAGAGTTTGAAAAGGAAAAAACTTGATTTTCAATTTTGCTTAAATTTTTGATTAAAAGATTGTCCTGAATTGAAGAATCTGAAACACTGCTACAAGGACCGGTCTCAAAGGAAATCCCTCATGATTTCTTTGTATTGAAACCTGCAGTTGACTCAGTAATGCCCGAGGAGATGATAGGGGAAGGAGTTGTCAGGAGCTCTTGGGTTAGTGCACGCTCTCTCCCAATGACCGAGCTCGTAGCAGTTGTTGCACCCGTTGACAGAAGGAGGAAACTTTGGTCTGGAATTCCGAAATCCTGATCTCCTACCAACAGCTTGACCTCCATGGCCATAAAAGTTCCCTCCCTGAGTAACAAATCCTTGCCCAGAAGGATAGCCCTGGCTTCCACTGTAGTAATTCTAACTCCGTAGGTGCACCGTCAGCCACAGTGAGGTCATTTAATTTTCTCAAACAATCTTCCCACTTCACTCTACTAGAATTTGTATCCTTCAAAGAACTAAGAAGCAGCTTCCTCTCAAGTACCCCTTTGTCGTCGTCCTAACCTCCAACTGAATAACTGCTAATCTGCATATGCACCGCCATTCTTCCTTCATATACTGAATCCAAAGGATCCGTCAAAAAACTGTATTCTCCTGCCATAATTCCTTTAGATGTAACTGGTTTGAAAATAAATACAGTATAAAAACATAAATTTAGAAAACTGAGAAAAACAAAAAAAAAATTTTTTGCAGTAAAATCCAAAACAAAAATTTTTGTGCCTTGAAATTATCTAAATGTTCGAATCTTCTGGACCATTCTGTCCCTTGATAGTATCTAGAAATTTGAATCCTTTGAATTATTCTGCCCCTTAAGAATATCTGAAAGTTAATATCCACGGACCATTCTGTCCCTTGAAATTATCTATAAGTTCAAATACCCTGGACCATTCTGTCCCTTGATTTTATCTATCAGTTCAAATCCTTTGGACCATTCTATTGCTTGAGATTATCTATAATCAAATCCCCTGGACCATTCTGTCCTTTAATTTTTATCTATAAGTTCTAATCCTCTGCTGGGCCCTTGACATTATCTATTAGTACAAATCCCCTGGACCATTCTGTCCCTTGAGATTACTATAATTTCAAATCCCCTGGACCATTCTGTCCTTTGAGATCATCTGTAAGTTCAAGTCCCCTGGACCATTCTGTCCCTTGAATTTATCTATCAGTTCGGTTCCCTTGGACCTTCCTGTGCCTTGAAATTATCTATAACTCAAATTTTTGGACCATTCATTCTGTCCCTTAAAATTATCTAAGTTCAGACCCCCTGTACAATTCTGCCCTTGATTTTAAAGTTTGAGTCCCCTGGACCATTCTGTCCCTTAATTTTTTCTATAGTTCAAATTCTCTGGACCATTCTGTCCCTTAATATTATCTATAAGTTCAAACTCTCCTGGACCATTCTGTCCCTTGAGATTATCTAGTTCAAAAAATCGTGGACCATTCTGTCCCTTTATATAAAAATTTTTCACGCCGTCTATCCAATATAAACTATATTGAAAATCTTAAAACAAGTACAAAACAAAATCATAACGGAAGCACTCGATAAAAATAACAACCCGATAAATGGTCTCCATTGGTCTCCAATATCTTTATTGGTCTCTGCTGGTCTCCATATAATGTTTATGAAAATTTGTGTACAAACTACTCAACTAAAAATAGAAATAAAACTTGATAAATGGTCTCCGTTGGTCTCCATATAATGGTTTACAAACTACTCAATTTAAAAATAAAAATAAAAACCCAATAAATGGTCTCCATTGGTCTCCAATATCTATATTGGTCTCCGTTGGTCTCCATATAATGTTTACGAAAAATTTGTCTACAAACAACTTTAATAAAAATAAAAATTTATAAATAAAAATTCCAATAAATGGTCTCCATTGGTCTCCAATATCTTCATTGGTCTCCATAAAAATTTTTAAAAATTTGTTACAACCCACTCTAATTAAAATAAAATATCCCAATAAATGGTCTCCTTTGGTCTCCAATATCTTCATTGGTCTCCGTTGGTCTCTATATAATTATTACAAAGAAGATTTATTACAAACCACTCTAATTTAAAATAAAAATATCCCGATAAATGGTCTCCAATATGGTCTCCATAGGAAATTGACGTAAATAAATTGTAGTTGTAGCAACATTTTTTAAAATTTGTTTCTTAATTTAATTTTTTTAATATAATATTCAAAAATTATGTTTATTTGAAAACTAAAAATATGTTTTCCTTTTATTAAGTTTTTTGTAAAAGATATGTTTTTTCAACAAATGAAAGTTGAAAAATTACAAAAATATTGTAAAAACATATTCATTCATTGTTGATTAAAGATTAACTTATTTTGACATTGATTTGTAATTTTTTTTTATAAAAAAAATTCTATTATGATGTGAAATGAAATAAATCAAAATTTTAGGATAGGAGTTAGGGCGTATACCGGCCCCCGCCCCCCGGCCATGCTGCAGCTAGTGCGTTCCAACCTATCCCCCGCTCACCTAGGAATCAGGCCCGCGCCCCTCCTGCCAGTGCCAGAGGCAGCCTAGTAGAACAGGTAATTTAGTAATTAGTTCACTTCTGACTTCAGTTCAGTGAAAACTTCTGTTATACATCGGCTCGACAATTGTGAAGAAACAATCTCAAGAACTGACGAGAGTGAACCCAGACCAAATATATTTTCAATAAATGTGGAACTAACATCTACTTTTTACTCTACAGAGGTTTGGTCCATCAACATCACCGAATTTTAAATCGCTCAACAATTATCAAGAGAACTGGCCAATCTGCACCACTGACATATAAAGAAGATAAAAACGAATTTTTTTCAGTGAATACGTTAGTTGTTAGTTTCTTTATTTCCTAACAAATATCACATTTTCGGGTAAAACAAGTTATCATCAATCATCATCAGCATGAATAAAAAGTGTTGTACTTGTTGGGGGGAGGGGACAGTAGAATGCCAAATGCTATTTTGTACTGTTTACGTATTTATTCAATAAATCTTGTTTAATTACCAATTTGTTTTTTTCTGTTTGTGTTTTTATTTAATTAACTTAATATGTGTATAATTAATGTGGAAGTTTTTTCAAATTATTCAAAAAATCTGAATAGTTTATCCAGAAATTATGATTCGAGAGCTGCCGCATTTGGCCGCTAGGTGGTGTCTACTCTAAAATAGAGATGGCGCGAATATGTATCCTGAAATTGTTATATTTTTATCCACTTTTTCTTAATAATAATGACTTGCATTATTAACAGTTTTAAAAATATTGTTCTGCATTCAGTTTTTCTTATAAAAATAATAAGAAAATGTGTATTTTTTTTTATTTCCGCCGTTTTCAAAATATTCAAAATTTAGGGATAATTTATCAAGAAAATCTGCTGTGGTTCGCTTTTCCAAAAATTCTTATTTTTTTATTACGTTTTAATATTTACAGTGTAGTTATAAAAGGACACACAGTCCAATGAAATTGCTACACAGGCAATTTCTTAACCAGGATTAACTCCCCGGTTCTAAAGGAAGAATAAGAAAGAAGAAGGAAGAAAGAAGAAGAAAGAAGAAGAAGAAAGAGGATGGAGAAAGAGGATGGAAAAGAAAGAGGATGGAGAAGAAAGAAGGAGAAAGAAGGAGAAAGAAGAAAGGAGAAAAAAGGAAGAAGAAGGAAGAATGTGGAAAAAGAAGGATGAAGGAGAAAGAAGAAAAAAGAAAGAAAAGAAGACATGAAGATAAAAAGGGAGAGTAGAATAGAATAGTAGAAGAATAAATGAATAAAAGAATAGTAGAATTCAGAAGGATTCAGTCCTGGATAAGTTTGATAGCAGACGGATTGTACCTGGATTGATATGTCTTGAGCAGGGGCGGACATAAGGATTCTGTAGGGGGGGGGTAAATATTTTTAATTTGGCGCGCGAAGAATTTTTTTTTACCCCCCCCTAGAATTTTTTTTACCCCCCCCCCCTAGAAAAATATCATGATGTATATCAAATTATTGGTTTTAATTGGGGTTGATTTGCATTTTCCACTCATTTCTGGGATTTACAAACTCAATCTAATAAAGGCTTCATGACATACCTTTCAGCTTTCACCTTGTTTTATATCCTTCATTATAGTCATTCATTTTACATTAACTACAAAGATCTGTAAAAAAACTGAATTTATTTAATTTTAACTAAACTTTTTACCAAACATTGACAAAAAAGGCAGTAATATAAAAAAAATAGTTTTACTCTAAGAGGAAAAAGATGTTACTTTTTAAAATCTTTAGAAAAGCTACTCTGCAAAACTTTGAAAGAAATACATAAGAGAGGGAGGGGGAGGGGGGGTTTATAAGTGGAAGGGAGGAATGGTTTAATTTAATGTTAAATCTTCCTCATTTAATGTTGCAAAATACAATTTTTGACAGAGAAAAAATGACATCAAAATAACCTCATACGACGCCATTGAAAATTTTGTCTTTTAAAGATTTGATTTTGCTATTTTTTCCATTTCAAATAGTTTACAAGCAGTATATAAAGGAATTACTACCAAGAAAAAGTTGTAGTGATGAAATTTGATCTTGAACAAAAACAACAAAAAAAAACGTTAAAAAATGTAAAAAACCATTAAAAAACGTCTTGAAAAAAGTGATGTCAAAGTGATGTTATTATACATAAGGGATTCAGCAGTGGCGTCTCTTGTCTTACGGGGTAACGCTCAATTGCATTTTTACGACACCAAATCGGAAATAAAAAATTATTTAACATACTTTGAATTTATTCAGTTGTTCAAATAAGGTTATTATTGATTCATAATTTAATCCTCATACACAAAAAAAGTTTAACATTATAAAATTTAAACCAGCAAATTGAAGCTGTTTAGATGAGTTATTAATTTAATTATTTTGGACAGAAAAACCTTAAAAAAATTTGAATAATACTTTGCTAGTCCATTCAACCATTAGTCCAATTGACATAGCACCAGATAATTGCATCTCATGATTTTGGTAAAAGTTACAATGAAAAAGTGGTATGAAACAAAGGAAATCTAAAGCCTTAAAACTGATGCGAGTAAATCTACAGAGAATAGTAAAAAATGTATTTACAAGTAGAAAAATTAACAAATAAAAATGATAACTAATGAATCATGGAAAGCCGTAGCTCTCTGATGGACTCTCCACCTTTCATTCACCTTGTACGACATCTTAATCTTCCGTCTTCAGACTCTTCGTGAATGCTGACTCTATTTCAGTTTTAGCCCAGGCTGATCCTATTTTCTCCTTCTAAGCCTTGGTTCTTGTCTATTGGCTCGAATTTAAACCAGAATCATGAACAATGGTGGCTTCAGCTTTCCACTCGTTCAAACATACGTTCAAAGTTTG